AATTCTAAAAAGGTTTAGAATGGATGCTTCTAAACGGGGAAGTCTTCCAATGCAACACAATGTAAACTTGAGTAAAACTCAAGGACCCTCCACACCTGTTGAGGTGAAGCGAATGAAGGGAATCCCCTATGCTTCGGCAGTGGGGTCCATCATGTATGTAGTGAGGTGCAGTAGACCTGATGTGGCGTTCTCTCAGAACCTTACGAATAGATACCCACAGAATCCAGGAGAAAGTCACTGGACTGCTGTTAAGAACATATTGAAGTATCTTCAAAATACGAAAGATATGTTCATCGTTCATGGTGGAGATACTGAAAGAGAGCTTAGTGTTACTTGCTACACTGATGCTGGTTTTGAAACAGATCAAGATGATACTCGATCTCAGACTGGATACGTTTTCGTCATGAACGGAGGCGCTGTTGACCGGAAGAGTGTTAAGCAAAGCACTACTGCGATGTCTTCTATAGAAGATGAATACATAGCTGCTTCTGAGGCTACAATGGAGGCTGTTTGGATACGAAAATTCATTTTTGGGTTTGGCTTTGTCCCCAGTAATGAAAAACCCATGGATATGTACTACGATAATTCTGGTGCCATTATCATAGCCAATGAACCTGGAGTTCAAAAGGGCGCCAAACACTTTCTCAGGAAGGTTCACTACATTCGAGAAGTCATGAAGATGGGTGAAATTCGCCTTCTAAAGGTTCACACAAATAACAACCTAGCTGACACTTTTACGAAGCCAATGTCTTGTGCCAAACACATCGAGCATGACTGGAATATTGGGCTTCGACCAGCTAGTAGTATCATGTAGATCTGTTTAGTATTTGAATAATTGGAACATTAAACAGTTTTTATTTTACAATGAATTGATGTACTAGGTATGATCGTTTTCATTTATATCAACTATGTTCTATAATTGCATGTTTAATCCATAAATAATTAATATATTGTAAATTGTCCATTGTCAGTTGATAATACGGGAATATATCGAGTTAAGGCAAATGTGAGCGTATTGGTGATATTCATTGGAGAATGAATATTAATGATGATGCCACCAAACTCACATGTTGTTCATTGGTGATGAACATTGGACTGACCCAACCTACGAGAATTCACTGCATGGATCGACGTCAACAGTGAATCTTGCAAAAGGTTATGTCACTCATCCTTAGACTTGAGATGCAAGCAGGTTTTGTCTGAGTGAAATGTTGCTTTTTGATATGGTTAAACGTTGTTCTGAATAAGACTGTTATAAACCCATCTTCAGGAACGATGTGAAGCATAAGATAGACACGTGCAGTCAAAATAKGATTTGTTCCTCTACAAGTAATGGAGTTAGATACTACTGGGCCCCTCAATGAATTGAATAGATGTTTGTATGGCCATACCCAAATGTAATTGAGATGATGCTTGATTAATTTGGTAATCTATTTCATTACCCAGATCGAGAAACATAATCATTGAATGATTAGAATGACATATGATCCATGTCTAAAATTCAATAAGGTATCTGCAACAAAGGGATGATTGATTAATAAACCTTTTAAAATGAGACGTTCAAGAAACTCACCTCATGTGTCTCTAGGGGCATTGGCGTGTTGCTAAACGCTAACCTTTGCTTGTATAATTACTAGTTTTTATGACGTGTGCAAGTGGGAGCTGTTGGAATATGCTCGTGTCATAATAAATAATTATATGGCTAGACACACGTAAGTCTATAGGGTCACACACATATACACTGAGACATCATTTAATATAATGTATTTATTGTATTTACATTATATATATTATCTTAGTAACGTGGRGTATTTACATGGGACCTAATCATTAAGTATGACTTAATAATTTGGGATTGAAGTAGATATGGCCAAATGGGCCCGGCCCGGCCCGGCCCGGGACCGTCGGAGGACCGGGACCGGGACCGACAAAGGACCGGCCCGGGACCGGGACCAGTAAGGACCGGTTATGGGACCGAAAACCGGGACCGGTTGAGGTTTTTGGTAGTTTCGTGGGACCGGGACCGGGACCGGTTATGGGACCGACTATGGACCGGCCCGGCCCGGCCCGAAAATTCAATTAATTTTATAAA